CGATGCTGGTGAGTGTCCCCGTTTGCCCCGCGCGCCCACCCGGGCTCCTCCGACGGCCCTGGCCCTGCGCAGGGACCCACTGACCCTCCTGCGGAGGGGGCCGAGCCGCCCTCGGGAAACATGCCGCCTTTGGGGCCCGCAGCGTTGTTCCCTTTGCGAGACCAAGCTGTGCTTCTTCCACAGGGGAGGCGTATTCGGGCGCCCAGGCCAGCTCGGACACCGACCTCCTCAACAAGTTCATCTTACTGAAGCCAAAGCCCTCCAAAAGTGATAAACCCGAAAGTAGGGAGTCCAAATCGTCTCAGTGAGCCCGCGGAGCGGGAGGACCGCTGCTGGGGCCTGCTGCAGCGAGGTGCGGGGGAAGCCAAGGAGCAGAGACGGTTGCTTTTCCCGTGCTCCCCTACCCCCTTTTTTTCCTGAGGGTGTCAAGGATCTGGGAACCCTGCCCTCTCCTTGGAGCTGCAGGGAGACAGAGATGGAGGCAGGTAGATGCATCCTCCGTGCCAAGACCTTTGGGGACCAGGTGCTGACAATGGGGCCTCTCACCCTGACGTTACAGAAGGTGATAGCTAGCCCTGTGTTAAATGATTTTAAATATATATTGCACATACATATTATATAGTAAGAGACTTTTCCTTCTCACACGAATGCAAACTTCATAGCCACCGAAGAGACCTTGGAAGAGGAGATGCTCAATGTTTTTTTTTTTAAATCTTGGGGACACAGCTGCAAGGTGGAAAAGAGTGGGGCGGTGACATCGTGGGACAGGGAAACGCAGCCGCAGTGTCGCCCTGCCACGAGGGGGAACACCCCTGGCTCCCCCTGCACAGCGCTCAGATGGACCGGATAATTTTCTGCTGCGGGGGCACGTGCCGGGGTCACCACTGGTGGGAACAGGAAAGCGCTGCCCAGCATGCAGGGAAGGAGACGTGGCTGGAGGAGCAGCGCTGTGCTGGCCTGACCTGCTCCTGCCCGGCCGAGCGTCTCGATTCCTTGCCCTGCATGAAGAACAGGACCTCCCCCTCCCCCAGCCTGCTCGAGCAGAGACTCGCAAGGTGCCGTTGAGCTAATTTTGAATTTCTCGAAGATATTTAAACACACATCGTAGACTTGCGATGTCTCAGGAGAAACTGGTTTTTTCCTTGCAAATGGAGGACTTGTGCGTGCGTTGGGGGGCACCCCGGCCCCCCTGCGGGGCGAGGGGGCACCGCGGCAACTAGTACCCAGGCAGAGCTGGGCGCTACCCCCCCCCCGCCCTGGGAAGTCCACCCCTTCCCCAGCAACCCCATTTCAGCCTCTCCTTGCTTCAGTGCCCCTAAACAACGCGCCCCTTTTACCTGCTCGGCAGAACCAGCCGGGAGCAACCCAGGGTCCGTTTTTGGCCAGTAGCACCAGTCCCTCGAGGGGCAGCTTTGCTGAAATACCAGTTCCCAGGGCTGAGGCAACGCATTGGCCGTGAGCCCTCGCTTCCCCCAGGCCCTCCACGGTGGCGGTGCCGATGGGGAAAAGCTGCATTTCTTCTTAGCTGCCCCCTCCCGTTTCCATCCCTCTCCTTCCCTCGCTGTTGCTGCCAGAGGGCACCAGTGAGAATGGGTGAACTACTTTGCACACTGGAGCTGGGTTTAATATACTGTACTCAAAAGCAATTGATTTTCTAGGTCTCCTATTTATTGAACTCCTTTAGAAGGGCTATCTTTTTATTGCAGTCCAAACTATGGTGTTTCCTTTGCGTTTTCTTTCTGGTGCAGTTGATTGGTGGTTTGTTTTTTCCTTAAAGCTCCAGGTCCTTCTTGTGAGGACAAGGAGCGTTGTGCTGTGGGAACCTGCGGTCTGTGGCCTGTAAATACTGTGTCTTGGGTCTGTGTAGCATGTGGATGACGCTGGGGATCTGCTGGAGCAGTTTTGGGCCGGAGAAGGGCTGCTTCGTTTCCCCCTTCTCCGCCTTACTGCTGGGTGCAGATGGGTTCATCAGCACCCCAGCACTGCCTGGTAGCGCGTCCTCCCTCGGGGATGAGAGGTGTAACCTGCCGGCTTTACCTGGCTACATGCCTCATCTGGAAAAGAAGGGATTTAGCATTTATTACCAAAAAATTTTTTTTTTTTTAAAAAGGAATTGCTCAATGAATAAACAAATCCTTATCCACCCTTCCTGTTTGTCTGTTCCATCCAAATGCGCTCAGTAAGTAGAAGTCACAATAACGCATGCCAGAGGGGGAGAAAAACGCTGATTCGGAGGGGAGATTTCCTAACGCTACGAGGCAGCGTGTTTGGCTCAAAGCTTTGTTCTGCCTCCAGCGGCTGCAAGGACATTTCAAGCGAAGCCTTGAAAGAATTGGGGATGGGAGAAGGGTGTAGGAAATTGTCCCCTCATTGACAAGCGCTGGTGAAACAGCACGGCAACAGCCCGCTTTCATCCTTCAGCCGCCCCGGGAGCTCGCTGCTCAGGGACATTCAAGGGCAGCAGCGCTGCCTGTGAAATGCTGGCAGAAGGAGTTTCAAGCCGCTCTAACTCCAGACTCTTCCAGGATTATACCAATGAGGTTATTACCACCTTAGTCGTCTGGCAGAGCTGGAGCTGGTCTCAAGGCAAGGGGAGAGGCAGCTAAGCTGGAGCAGCCGCATGGGCTCCTTTGGTTGTGCCCGGAGCTGCCTGGCCCAGTGGCTGCCACCCTCCCCTGCAGCAAGGAACAGCCTCTCTTGCCTGGCTCCCTCCAGGGACAGGGACTCCCCCTCCCAGCCACCGAAGTAACGAAGAGGCAGATCATGCTCTCTCCAGCAGTGGCCAAGAAAAAAAAACCATCACTGAGAAGCTCATCCTACCTAAGCCCTGCTGGGTGCTGATGAACAGGAGGAAGAGAAGGGGCGACCCCGGCAACTGTTGGAGCCATTCAATGGCTGCCACAGGGGCAACGGTTTGGTACATGCCCCAAGCTTCAGACCAGCACATAAGCCACCTTGTACCTTGGGAGCCGTGGGCACATTTAAAGCTGTCAGCTGGGGGTTAGTAATGGCAAGAGTCCCTGCCTTCCCAGCTCCTACCATAAGGATTATATAGTGCATGCATAGAGCCTGCTCCAAAGTAGTCTTTAAATACAGCCAAGCCTCTTCAGCCCATCTGGGCTCCCCTGCAGCACTGCCTTCTGCAGCATCTCACTTTGCAGTCCAGCTTCAAACATATGCTTGAAGCATAGTGCTGGATCTGTAAATGACAGGGCTACTTACTGGAGGGGGTTTCAGTCTCCTTAGGAGATAATGTCAAGAGCAGCAATCAGCAGTAGAGAGCAATGCTTCCTCCGAAGCAGATCTCATTAAGTTAATGTCTACTGGAGAGAAGTAAATGATGTGACATCTCTTCCTGCAGCCCCGGACGAGCTTTCAGGGATGACTGAACACAGGGGGTAAGGCTTTATTCAGCACAGTAAGGAACCGACATGCAAATAAGATAGGGTTGTGCAACCAAGGTATGCGCTTCCCAATTCCAAATGCCACGTGGCCAGAGTGCAAAACTCTTGAGCTAAAACACTGGGATCACTCAGGGACAAAACCCCATCTCAGCAAAGACATTCACAATACCCATAAATTCTCTTTCTGCTTTACCATACATGTCATGATGGCTTTGTTCGGGAGGGGGAGCAAGGGAAGAGGTGTCGCTGACCAGCACAGCCAGGCCAGGAAAGGCAGAGGGAGATGGGGAGGCAAAAGCCTCAGCCCAGCCAGGTGCAGCTTTGCCCAGCCTGCTGCCAGGCAACCTCCTGCATCACTCGTGCCTGGACAGTCTCCTGCCAAGGGGCCACCTCAGTTTATAGTAAGGACATCGCTCTGAATCTCATGGCTCAGCTGGGTCTGGAGGTCGCTCAGTTTCTTCTTCAGGCCGGACAGAGCAGACAGAACGATGGTCTCTGGGCGAAGGGAACCGCAGGACTCCACGTTGTAATAAAACCTGAGGTTACAACAAGTTGGGGGAAGAGTTACCATCTGCTCTGCAAGGAGGTACAAAACGAGAGAGCACCTTCCGCACCGTCCCAGCCCACAAGGACCCGCTCCAGGGAGATCTGGGAGGTAGTCAGCATCGCCAACTTCCCAAGCAGGCAGCGCTGCTCCTCTACAACAGCTGCAGACCCACACAGAGGTCATAGCAGCACCTGTGACTCCAGCTAAGAGCACTTCCGAGATTTTCTCTATCCAGACACTGCAACGTGCAAGCCAGCGTAGAGCCCCGCACCCTGGGAGCTAAGACCAACTGACTAGCTGCAGGCACTTTGGCAAGGCAAACAACGTGGGAGTGGGGGTACTACCAGTAATCAGGGCATGAAAGACCCACACAGGTGAATGAATACCACATGTGCTGATGACATCAGTGTCTTCGCAGACATCCCAGACTACCTCCTCCCCAAGCCTCGCGCTCCACCCAGTGCTGCACTGCCTTGCTCGTTAGCAAGGATTCAGAAGAGGAGTCTAGTATTTCCCAGAGGGGAAAACCTGCCAGGCCTGGGCATTTCATCGGTTAACTCCAACTCCTGCCCTGCTTTTCAGGGACGCACCAGCTCCCTGGGCTGGCAAACTTGAGTGCAGAGTATCTGACACGTATCAACAAAAGCCAAAGAGATGTTACCCAGCAGTATTGCCCCGTTTTCCAGCAGTGGGATTGCATTCAGCTTCCTACCTCTCTGGCTTCCCATTGGGGTCATAGGGAGCCTGAGCATCTTCCTCATCGATCTCCGAGTATTCGCTCTTAGGCCTGGAATCAAACAGCAGGGAAGGTTAGCATGGAGCCCACGCGCTAGCGCGCTTAGCCCCACAGCGCCCAGGCACTCAGTGGCACTGTTTGCAGGTTGCTCAGGAGGTTGCTATCCCGTGACATGACTGATCTCCCCCACGCTCACTCCATGGAAAAAAAGACTACTGTCCAAAGGTCCCAGCACCAGAAAAAGAAAACGGATGCCTTCCCTACTAGAAGGTCTCACACCTTCTAGTGTGAGACAAACTAGAGGTTTGTTGCACTGTTGCTACAGTGCTGCACTGTTATTTCTGACAGCTGGAATGACTCCCCTGTCCCTGTACCTGGTGGGACTGGCCACGTTCCTGCCTTTCTGAGCAGCACTGGAGGAAGAGGTCAGGCCTGCTCTATGTGTAGTACTGCAGCTCTGTGCAGCTATGCTGACAGAGTGCTTACAGGAAAGGGATGACGATGCCTGAAGAGACTGTGTTTACAAAGTCGGTGTTTATGGAGTAATGGACTCTGCGCTGAGTTTTCTTGCTACTGATTACTGGGCCGAAAAACACCGGAGCACTCCTGCACGCGTTCTCTGCAGCACAGCTGAGATGGGGAGGCCTCATCAGCCTGGGGTCAGCAGAAAAAATCTCCTCTCCTGGAGCTTCAAGACTTGTTTGCCTGTACTTCAGACATCAACTGCATCAGCGAGCCCAGCGCTCCTCATGCCCTGCACCTCCACTCCTCTATACACATCACTACCAAAAATCACCCCAACACCAAATAGTTGGGCTGGGCCAACACACTGTATCTTTCTACCTGTTCCATCTCTTGGCTTATAGGGCATCATACAGAAGAGGCTGTTTGGAAGCACTTAATCCTTGTAAAAAAATCCAAAGCCTAGAGTTGTCTGAGAAGCCAGTCCAGAAAACCCCATGACCATCAGGGTCTCCTGCTGGCCTTCCTTTGTCCCAGCGATGCCAGGAAAGGCTGATCCTAGCACCCTGTCATCAACTGTCTCAAATCAAACTGCACTTCCCCAAAAAATACTCTGTCTGTAACAAACTACTGAGAGAAATAAAGTGCTAATGGAGCTGGGCCTTCACCTGACTTGAACACCATCTGTAACAGAAAACAGGGCACAGAGCAACCCTATGTTCCACCCCCAAGGCAGCTGGCTTTCAGCATCCAGCTGTGTTCCAGTGCTCCACCAGCAATTTCTTCAGCGATACATCAGAGCAGTCTGATCATCCATAACGACAAGTATCCTAATCTTCTCCAAGACCCTGGCTGTGTTTGTGATGTTCAGATACCTCACAAAACAACTATCATGCAAAACCAAGCCAAAAAAAAAAAAATATATATATATATCCTTGGACAGCAAAGGCATTTGTCTCTGTGTTGTCTTCAGACAGATTCACTTGGAACTTGGAAAGAAATACGTATCATCAAGGAACAGACA